GCTGCCCGCGGCCGTGCAGCTCCCTCACGGCCCCTGTGTGCCGCAGTGATGTGCCACTGCCAGCGCAGGGGGGCTCAGCTGCTCCTGGGCGCCGGGGCGCACCTGCACGTCTACGAGCACGGCGGGGTGGCGCAGGTAGGTGCCGGGCTCCGGCCCCAGCACGGCTCCCTGCGGGCACGGCGGCTTGCTGCTGCCCTCCTCTGGCTGCCGGGGCCGCACGGAAGGCTCCGGCCCGGCCCGGGACAGCACGGCCCGAGCCGCAGCCCGGGGAGGCAGGGACGGAGGGGACGGGGAGGGCAGGGCCGCTCCCCCCCAGCTCCGCTCCCTGGGTGCAGGTGGCTGGGGTGCACTCCCAGGCGCTGCAGGACCTGCCCGACGGCACCTTGGACCTGGAGCAGCTGGAGCTGGCCGTCCGGGAGGCCCACGGCAGCCGGTACCATCCCCGTCCTGAGCTCATCTGCCTGGAGAACACGCACAGCTCGGCCGGGGGCCGCGCGCTGCCCCTCGCCCACCTCCAGCAGGTGGGAGCCGGCAGGCGGGCGGCAGGGAGGGGCTCATGGAGGGGCTGGGGGCAGCGGCTCCGGGGGCACTGGTGGCTCCCAGGGACACCGGTGGCTGCTCTGCCCCTGCCCAGGTCCACCAGCTTGCGGAGCGCTACGGGCTGCGGGTGCACATGGATGGAGCGCGGCTGCTGAACGCGGCAGTGGCCCAGGCTGTGGAGCCGGCGCAGATCACCCAGCACTGTGACTCCGTGTCCCTCTGCTTCTCCAAGGTGAGCTGGGCAGGGAGGGAGCTCCCGGGGCTGGACGGGAGCAGCTCAAGCTGGGGCTTCGCCCTCCTTCAGGGCACAGAGCAGGGGCTGTGAGCCAGCTCACGGCTGGGGCAGGGCAGCGCTCAGGCCACCCTCCCGGACCCCCAGGGCCTGGGTGCCCCAGCTGGGGCCGTGCTGGCCGGCCGCCGGGCGTTTGTGGCGGAGGCCTGGCGCATGCGGAAGCTGCTGGGCGGAGGGATGCGGCAGGCAGGGGGTGCTGGCAGCCGCTGCCCGCATCGGGCTGGAGCAGGCAGAGGAAACGCTGCGCAGAGACCACAGCAACGCCCGGCGCTTCGCTCGAGGTACCTCGGGTCCTGGGCAGGGGGCCCCAGCATGGGCTCTGGGCAGGGCTCGAGCGGCCTCCCCTCGGGGAAGCCGGGCACCGGGCTGGCAGCCTGACAGCCCCTGCCTCCCTCAGGCATCCAGGAGCTGCAGTCACCTCTGTGCTCCGTCAGCCTCCCGGCCGTGGAGACGAACATGGTGATGGTGGCGGTGCCGGGGGGGTGGCCGTCCCCAGCAGAGCTCTGCGCGTACATGCGGGCAGTGAGCGAGGAGGAGCTGGCTGAGACAGGCCATGCTGTCAGCGTGCTGCTCTTCCCCTGGGCAGCGCACACCCTGCGTGCGGTCTGGCACCGCGACGTCTCAGCCCACGACACCGAGCTGGCACTGAACAAGCTGGGCTTTGTGGCCAGGAAGTGCCAGGAGAGGCTGGCCCTGGGACTGGGCCCTGGGCCTCCAAGTGCTGTGAGGCACTGAGCCCAGCCGGCAGCGTGCCTCCCCCAGCCCCAGCCAGGAGTGTGCCTCCCCCAGCCCCAGTGGGGGACAACGGGCAGGTCTGCAGGCTGGGGCAGCCCGCAAAGGGGCTGGGACCACCTGCAGCGTGCTCCAGGCTGCAGCACGACACCCCCCACCCCTGCCTGCAGCCCCCCAAGCCAGCCCAGCCCCGGGAGAGTGCAGGTCACTGCTTCCCTAGCGAGCCCCACGCCTCCTGGCAGGGAGCTCCTTCCCAGATGTGCCCTGGGGATGGAGGGGAGCCCAGAGCTCACACCAGCACCCAGGCTGTGCCAAGGCAGCTCCTCACCCAGCAAACACCATCTGAGCACTCTCTGGTCCTCAGCCCGCACAGCACCCAGAGGCAGAGGCAGGCAGCCCCGCTCCGGGCACCCCAGCATCTGGGGCCGTAGGGGCCGGGCTGCACAGGAACAGCAGGGCAGGAGGCGTTCCATGCAGCCCTGTGTGCTCAGCTCAGTTCTTACTGCTCTAACTGGGGTCTAAATAAACGTGTTCTGGCAGTGCTATGGCTGTGCAGGGTAATTCCTCCCCAGGGTGCTCCCTCCCCTTGCTATGTAGTGGGGATATTTTCACAGCACGGAGGTCCCCATGGAAGGGTGAGCACACCTGAGGACACGCACGTGTCTCACGGCCACAGGACCAACACCACTGCACTGCAGCACCACAATCTGTACCTGACCAGGACTGTCACACGAGGAGCCCTTCTGCTGGACCTGAGCTCTGCAGGAGGGCAGCTTCTCTGTGTATCAGCTAAGAGTGCTCTAACTGAGCACAGCACCGCCTTCCCTGGAGGATTTACACCCAGGCAGCATTTATTCCTATTTTATTTCATTTTGGCAATCAGTAGTTTAGAGGAACCCGAGGGAGCAAACTGCATCACCTGGTCATCCAGCCAGACCCCCAGCAGGCCTGCAGCCCTGTGCACCGCAGCTGGCCCAGCCCCAAGGACAGCCCCAAAGCACAGGAACACCTCGGTGGGGGAACATCAGCATAGGGAGTGGCTGGGGGGTAACTGCTGCTCTCCTCCTGCACGCCCCCCTGCCTGGTGGCAGGCTGGGGGGAGCAGAGGAAGCACATCTGCCCCAGAGAGCCCTTACAGAGGGGTGTCTGGGGCAGCAGCCACCCAGTGCCACCAGAGGAGACCCAGCAGGCTGGAACAAGGGTGGAGCAGAGCAGGGTGCAGAGGCTGTGGTTTCCATCTCCTGCACAGCGCTGTGGTTTCCATCTCCAGTTTGCTCCCAGCGTGCCATCAGGCTCTTGCAATCATGTTCAGGATGATCTGGGATGAGGAACCAAACGCTGTGAACAGTGCCTGACCCCACTGCTCCTGACCCGGGGGAACAGTCCCCCTTCCCGAGCCCTGCAGGTGACAGCCAGGCCCCGTGCAGCAGTCCCGCGCTGCCCATCACCACCAGCCTCCCTCCCGGCCCACAGGGCTGAGCTGTGCTCAGGACAGCGAAAGATGCTGGCTGCAGGGGACGGGGGCTCCTCACCTGTGTGAGGATGTAGGTGTCCTCCGACAGCTTCTCGATGATGTCGAAATGATCCACGCTGGCCAGATCCAGCAGGGACACAGCCCAGCCGGCTGAGCGCAGGGCCTGCGGGGACACAGCGCGGGGCAGCGCACCCTGCTCAGGGCCCGGAGCACGGCAGGGGCGATGGTTCATCGAGGACCAGCGGCCTCCCCTGCTGACAGCAGCCACCACCCCAGCCGCAGGAGGTTCGCAGAGGGAGAATAGGTCCGAGCAGCACCCCGGGGCGCTGGGCGAGGCGCTGTGGGGCTCACCTGGCTGTACTCCTGCGACTGCCTGCGGAACTCGGGGGAGTCGTGCTGGGCCACGGCCACCAGCACCTCGCAGGCCGCAGGCACTGCCTGTGTGACACACAGCATGGGGCTGTTCCTCTGGGCCACCTCCCTGCGGAGGAAACGTAGTGGCAGCCAACGTGGCCTCTCACTCCAAGAGGGGGCCCCTGTGTGCACCCCCATGCCCTGGGCAGATGCTGCAGGCCCTGAGCCGAGGCTGGCAGAGCTCTGCAGGAGGGCAGCGCGGGCTGCACGGCTCTGCTGCTTGCCCAGGGGCTGCCCTGGCCGAAGCCACACACACACGGGCGGCCTGGGCCCCTTCCCAAGCCCGTCCCTGCAGCGGGCGGCCTCACCGGCTCATGTTCAGAGCGTCGTTCACGTAGGTGTGCAGAATGGGCTCCAGGTCGTACACACCGCTCACCAGGACAGCTCCTGCAGGCACAGATGGGGGGGGTGAGTGGCCCCGCAGCTCAGCCTCCTCACGCCCAAATCCCAGGCCTCCAAAGGGCAGAGGAAGACCTTGGCTCTTGGCAGCGCTGCTGACCCCAGGGCGGCTTGCCCAGGAGCCCGGGTTCTTGTCCCCCCAGCACCCACGGACTGCCCCCATTGAGTCAGCACCCATTGACTGCCCCCTCAGCTTTTTTTTTTGCAGAGAGGGCCATGTCCAGCTGCAGACACCAGCTCAGCTGCAGCCCTGCCCTGGGCAGACTTTCTGCCCAGGCCCATCCTCACCAGCAGACTGGCGAAGTTCCCTGCAGGGAGCAGCCCCCGCTGCCACGTGTCCCTGGGCCTTGGCAGCTCAGAGCCACGCAGCTGGGCCAGGAAAGCAGGAGATGCCCCAGTGCAGCCCCCTGGTGCTGAGCACCAGCCTCCCAGAGCAGGGGGAGCAGAGGTCTCTGGGCACTACCTCGAATATCAGGAACCACTCCAAACTCCGTCCAGTCTGTGCACAGCACCATAGCTGCCAGGTGAGCCCCTGCCGAGTGTCCACACAAGTAAATTCCCCTAAAGAGAAGGAGCCATGAGCAAACACGGGAAGGAACAGCACAGCACATGCTGCCTGGGGACATCCCAGGCAGAGCGGAGGGAGCAGCACAGCCCCAAAGGCTGCAGCATGGCCACGGCTCCCAGCACACCAAATCACCCCTTCTGCAGTGACAAAGGAGCGTGGATGGGTGCTGCCTGCACTCAGCCTGGGGCACTGAGGTTTTATTACAGCTCAGGGCTCGTTTACCCCATCCCATTGCTGCTGCAGCCACCTCCGAGCACCGAACCACCCAGGGAGTGACGTGGGCTCACTGCCTGAAGGGGCTGCAGGAGCAGGGGACGGGGACACGGAGCCGTGCGCTGCCCACCTGATCCCGGGGTACTGCTTCGCCAGGAAGGCGAGGCTGCGCCGCACCTGCAGCACCATCGCGTCCATGTGGCCTGGGCAGAGAGCAGGGTCAGGAGGGCACCGGGCCAGCGAGGGGCGTCCCGGCCACAGCGGGACAGTGCCTACCTTTGGGAGCTGTGTCGTAACCCACCGCCACCACCGCCACGCCCCGTGCCACCAGCGCCAGGGCTGCGAAACCCGAGGCGTCCTTACTGGGGGGGACAGAAGCTGGGCACGCCGCGGGGACGGGCGTCCTGCAGGGCTGCCTGGGGGCACCCACGGGTCCGGGGCACCCGCGGCGAGCCCCGGCGGGACACCGCTCTCCGGAGAAGGAGAGGTAAAGGCAGGGCCGGCAGCTCCTGCAAGGGAGCCCTCACCGGGGGGCCGCCTTACCTCAGGGACTGCCAGTAGCCACCGTGGATGTAGACAAAGGCGGGGAAGGCTGCGTGGGACAGCACGGGATGGGACAGCATGGGATGGCAGAGGTGAGCAGCGGGCAGCCCCCCCGGCCCCGCCGCCCCCCGGCCCCCACCTACTTTCGGAGGGCTCCTCGGGCAGGTAGAGGTCGAGCCTCTCGCCGTCCCCCTCCCCGTACGGGACGTGCAGCGCTGTCCGGGTGCTGGCCCGCGCCCGCTGCGTTCCTGCGGGCCGGGGACAGGCTCAGCGCCGGGACCGGGCAGCCGCCGCCCCCTCGGGGCCCGGTGTCCCCGTCGGTGTCCCGGTGCCGCCGCTCACCTGCGGTCACCGCCTCGATGTGCGCCTGCACCGCGGCGTCCCCGCGCAGGCGGCGGGCCCAGCGGCTGGGGGAGTACTGCTGCTGCAGCTCCTGCGGGAACGCGCGGCGGCTGCGGGGGCTGCGGGGGCTGCGGGGGCTGCGGGGACCGGGCCGGCGGCACCGGTACCGGCACCGCCACCACCGCCACCGCCCGCCCGCCCCTCTACCTCCGCCGCCATGTGCTGCCAGCGCCCCCGGCCCATGCCGCCGCCACCGCCGCCACCTCAGCCGAGCCGAGCAGAGCCGTGCCGAGCCGGACCGGGCCGGGCCGTGCCGTCACCGGGCGGTGCCGAGCCCAGCGGGGCCGTTCCGGGTCGGGCCGTGCCGTGCCCGCCCGCTGCCATTGGCCGCCGGGGCCGCCCGGGGTCGGGCCGGGGTCGGGCTGTACCGTGCCGGACCCGCCCCGGGGCCGTTGCCCGCTGGGGTCGAGGCCGGGGCCGGGGCCAGCCGGGGCCGCCAGGGGCCGCCCGGGGCCGTTCGGGGCCGCTCCGTGCCCGCCCCTCGGCCCCGCCCCCAATTAGGCCCCGCCCACCCCGGCCCCGCCCCGCTCCGTGCCGAGCTCTCCCGCCCTGCGCCCCCATTGGCCGGGCTCGCTGCCAGCCCTGCCCGGATTGGCGGGCGGGCGGCTCGCGGGCGCGGGGCCGCGTCCGGTTGGGCGCGCGGCGGGAGCCGGCGGGAGCGCGGGAGAACGGAGCGGGGAGCGCGGGAGCGGGGACCATGAGCTGCCTCACGGTGCCCGGTGTCCACCCCGGCTCGCCCGGCCGGCCCCGCGGGCAGATCCAGGTGCGGCGGGGCCCGGTCGGTTACCGGGGGCACGATCGGTACCGGGAGGGCGCGGGGGCTGCGTGGGGCGATGGCGGGGCGGGGGCCGGGGCTCTGCGGGGCCGGTGCCGGTGCCCCGCTGACCGGCTGGCTCTGCCCGCAGGTGATCTTCGGGCCGATGTTCTCCGGGAAGAGGTACGGCCGGGACCGGGACCGGGACCGGGGTGGGGGGGGCAGGGAGCGGGGCCGCGCGGGGCCGCTGACCGGTTGTGTCCCGCAGCACGGAGCTGATGCGGCGGGTGCGGCGGTTCCAGCTCGCCCAGTACCGCTGCCTGCTGGTGAAGTACGCCAAGGACACGCGCTACGGCACCGCCGGGCTCTCCACGCACGACCGGTGAGTCCCCGTGCCCGCGGGACCCCCGTTACAGCCCGGCCACCCCGCTCACCGCCCCCTTCCCGCAGGAACACCATGGAGGCGCTCCCCGCCTGCCTCCTCAGGGACGTGTACCAGGAGGCGCTGGGCGCCGCGGTCATCGGCATCGATGAGGGGCAGTTCGTAAGTGCATGGCGGGGGAGCCCGGGGTGCTCTGCGCTCTGCCGGGACGCCCCGTGAAGGAGGTCGGAACCCTCGGCTTCGTGCTCGGACACCTTCGGGCGGTTCGATCCTGCTCCACGACATTCACTGCAGTCAATCCCTTCCCTTTCCCCAGTCCCACAGGCTGAGGACAGGGCCCCTCCATTTCGGGGGCTCTCATTTCCTCACGGGCAGCCTGGCTCTCGTGTTCCTTGCCCGTGCTGTGCCTGGGCACGTCCTGCTGGATCTGGAGCGAAGCGCTGCCCCTTCCTCCTGAACCTGCTGTTTCTGTGCCTCCTGCAGTTCCCAGACATCGTGGAGTTCTGTGAGATGATGGCTAACGCTGGCAAAACGGTCATTGTAGCTGCTCTCGATGGAACTTTCCAGAGAAAGGTAAAGCACGTCCTCCAGTCCAGTAGCTGTACTGGGAGCCTCGTGGAACCCAGCCAACAGAACCGCCCCCGTCTTGGCACAGGCGTTTGGGAGCATCCTGAACCTGGTCCCGCTGGCTGAGAGCGTGGTGAAGCTGAACGCGGTGTGCATGGAGTGCTACCGAGAGGCCTCCTACACGAAGAGGCTGGGAGCAGAGAGGGAGGTGAGTTCCCTTGGAACCAAAAACACCTCGCTAGTTCTGTTTGCCAGCCCTGCTGGTCTAGAAGGGATCTCCTCGGGTGAGCTGGGCCCTGCAGAGTCCCTCCTCCCGTTTCCTTGCCAGGTGGAGGTGATCGGAGGCGCAGACAAATACCACTCCGTCTGCCGAGCCTGCTACTTCCAAAAGCGGCCCCAGCAGCTGGGGTCAGACAACAAAGAGAACGTGCCCCTGGGGGCGAAGCAGCTGGATGTGCCCGCTGCCCGAAAGATCTTCACTTCCTGATTGCTGCGCTTCGGTGGGGGGGTGGGGGGTGGGGGGAACGAGGGAAGAAGCCGAATGCTCCCAGACTTCAGATCCGGCTTCCCCTGCTTTTAGCAAAACTGTAAAGGGTCCCGGCTCTGAGAGCTCTGCCTGCCAAACCAGCCTGCGGGGCCTCTGCTCCAGGAGCCAGGATCAGCCGGAGCTGATGCCGGGGGGAGCTGACGACAGAGGCTGACTGTACGGGAGGTCCTTTCTCAGAGCACGGAAAAGTTTTAATGACTGACGCTGCCACACAAGCAGGTACTGGAAAGCTGCCGCGCCGGGCTGCAGGGCACTGGTCGCTCGTCACAGCCGTGGGCTCTGCACCCAGCGTGCGTTCAGCCTGGTGGCTTGCAGTGAACACAACCAGTTCTTTCTCTCCTGTGCTGTTGCTAAATTCCAGTTTTTTTAAGACAATGTGCAGTAACTTAGTATCCAAAACCCATTTCCTTTTTAATGTAGTCTGGGGAGATGGCCCTTTCCTTGCCATGGAGCCGTGGCACAACCTCAGCTGACACAGCAGCAGCCTGGCCCTCAGCAGCCTCTTAACGACGCTGTGCAGCCTGCCAGCCGGCTGGTAACTTGCTGGAGGTGTCTTGCAAGTTTTTTAAAATAGAAGAGGGGAGAAGGAGGGCTTGATTTGCCTGCCTGACTCCTAGGCTCTTTCTAGCCTTTGAAGTTAAAAAGTGCGGAGTCTAGTAAGAGTCTGCATGTTAAAGCAGACTCCTTTGGAAATACACCACTTCAGGAAGAGTCACCTCTAAAATCAGGACTTTCTGCTCAAGTGCTGCCACTTCACAATGCTTAGTTATCTGTGAAGGGTTTGGAGGCTCAGGACTGAATTTGTAAAGGATTGGGCTACAGTTACTGTTAAAATGCAGCTACCTGGAAAAGGGTCTCTGCTTTGAGTAAATGGTTCTTGACTCTAGATCCCATATCCAGCTCCCTCCTGAGCCTTCCAAAAATTTGAGCCTGCTTCCTTTGCTGTAACATAACTGGAGGATCTTCCTTCTCCCCTTTGCTTGACTCAGCTTCTGGAAGGGTTTTCTCTTTTTTTTCTTTTTTTTTTAACTTCTCATAAAAGTGCTTTTTAAAGTCAGAATCCTCAAGCTCCAAGCGACAGGATTCTGGTCAGGCTGATTAGGTCAGATCTCCGTGCTCAAACCGCCTCCTGTCTCCGGTGCTTGTTTACTTACACACGAGTGAGGAGGAGGCGCCCGCCAAGATAGTTTTGAGAGTTGCCTGAAATCTCTGCTCTGCATTCCTTGAAGCAATTACAGCTTTAGTATTCACAAGCACTTCACTGCCAGGCCTGGGCTTTCCCCCGAAGGACGAGGGGAGGCAGTAGTACTGTTCTGGGTTAATAAAGAACTTGAAACTGCCCACGTGTGTCTTCCTGGAGTGGCCTGGTCCGCAGGTTCCTGCGGTTCGCAGCGTGCAGAAGGAGCGCTCAGAGCAGCAGCGTGTCGGCAGCCTGGTCACGGGTGCTGCGGGAGCTGCCTGCTCACTGCTAAGCTGTCCGTGAGGAGCAGGACTTGCTAAAAATAGGCGCTGAGCACAGTGTTTGTGGAGCAGCAGGCGGCTGGCTTCCACCGCTTCCCCTCCTGGAACCCCCAGCCAGGACTCCTGGGGCCGAGGGGAAGAACCCGGTTCTGCTTCCTCAGAGAAGAAACGCAGGTGGCGGCTAGGTGAAAAAGTTTATTCCATCTCTACAGTGACAAACAAAGGCATGTTTGAATATCAGCCCCAGCAGCTACAGCTCGCATACCCCACACCGCTGCTGGGAACAGCTTCACAACAGGCACAGCAGCAAACAACCTGAGACAAGCCAGCCCGCCAGGCCCAGCACAAAGGCACGGTGTGGCCCCAGCTCGGGGACAGCAGCTGCCGAGCAGAGCGTGGCTCAGAGCAGCACGCGGGACACAGGGGGACAGCCTCGTGTCAGCAGGGAAGGTGCTGCAGGGGGACCTTCCCTGGCAGCACCTGGACCTGTGACAAGACCGGGGCCGGGGCCCTGCTGTGAGCCCGACACCCACCGCTCCCACAGATCCTAAAAAATTTCATCTGAGCGCCAGCTGCTGTCCTGCGGGCTCTGGGGAAGGCACAGCACAAGGGTGCATATTCAGAAGATGGGACTTTGGCATCAAGCTCAGCCGGCAGCAGCCGAGGGAGGGGAGGAAGGCACGCGAACCCAGTGGCAGGCAGGAGCTGAACCGTGTCACACGGCTGTGCTGGGGACGTGAGGCTCGCTACAGCAGTGAAAGGTGGCACTTAAAGGACTGCAGCCGGCAGTGCCAGGAGGGGTGCGGGCCGTGCTCGCCACCGCTTCCCCAGAGGGGCAACAGCAGGGCTGCAGCTCGGCCAGCCCCCGCGCACCAAACCCACCCGAGGAGCGCAGCGGGTCCTGCGCGGCACCTGCCCATCACCGCTGCGTGGCGGGGAGCTCACAGCGCCGCAAGCGCCAGGCCCTCTCCTCTGCCCCAACACCAAAGCCTGGTGGCTTCCACGCGAAGCAGCTGCCACCCTCCTGCCCCCTTCCCCGTTCAAGTTGCAGGTCCCTTCCTTCCCACCCCAGAGAAAATTGCACTTGTACAGCCGTCCCCACCGGACCGCCCGGCGCAGGGCTCAGTACACCGGCGGCGGCTGGTAACCCTCCGTGGCCTCCGCGGTCTGGGTGAAGGGCGGCTGCTGGTAGCTGTCGTGGCTGATGTTGGGGTAACTGGAGTAGGGAGTCGAAACCTCCGGCGTGGGGTCGACGTAGCTGTGAGCAAAGTCCTCCACCCCCATCTTGTATCGCTTGTAAGCAAAGGCGAGCAGGAGGCCCTGGAGAGCAGGGGGCTGTCAGAGCCAGGCGCCCGGGCAGAGGCCGGCCCTGGCTGCAGGGCCAGGAGCCGCTGCCCAGACCCTGCTGGCAGGGACCACCCCGGGGTCTCCGCCGGGGTCACTCACCCACGAGAAGATGGAGAAGAAGCTGAAGGTGATAACGGCACGGGCCGAGTCAGCCCCGATAAGCACGTCCTGGGCCTGCGTCCAGGCCCACTGGTTGGTCAGAAAGCAGAAGCCAACGAACCAGAGGAACGTCCAGAGGCCTGCGGGAGGAAGGCAGCGTGAGTGGCAGGGGCCGCGTCCCCCTGGTCCCTGCGGGTCCCCGGCCGCAGGCAGCGCAGCACGGCGGGATCCTGCCTGCCAACAGCCGCCACTGAGGTGGGCTGGAGGCAGCGGAGGCGCACGGCCCAGCACAGGTGCCTGCACGCCGCCAGCTCCGGCTCCACAGAGGAGCTCGGGCTGGCAACGCGTGGCCTGCGGGCAGCGAGCCAGGAGCAGCTCCCTCTGCCAGGCACCGAGCGGCGGCCACGTCACGGGACGCGGGCGGCCATTGCGGGAGGCACGGCCCTGCCCCGGGGCGCCCGTACCCGAGAAGCCGAGGTCTGCCAGCACCAGGTACTTGCGGTCGGTGGCGTTGCTGATCTGCGGGAAGTAGGCGTCCACCACGAAGAAGAAGATGCAGGCCAGGAAGGCGAGGACGCCGATGCCGATGCCGTAGCGGCAGGCGTCCTCGTTGTGGTTGAAGATGCAGAACAGTTCTCCGGAGCTGGGCTGGTTGGTGTGGCCCTCCCCGACCAGGCAGGAGAACACGATCAGGGCGAAGACCTGCGGGGGGCGGCGGGACCCCCGTCAGCGGGGCGGGGGGGCCGGAGGAGAAGGGAGAGGGGAGGCGAGGGGAGGCGGGCAGGGCCCGGGGAAGGAAGGGGAAGGGACGGGAAGGGAAGGGAAGGGTTAGGCCGGGCCGGGCCGATCCGGGCCGTGCCGCCCCCCGCCGCCCCCCGCCGCCCCCCGGCCCCGACTCACGGCGCTGGCGATCCGCGCCAGGACCTGCGGCTGCTGCACGAAGCGGCCCGGGTCGAAGGCGCCGCCGGCCTTGGCCGCCCCGTAGGCGCCGCCGCCGCCGCCCTCCATCGCTCCGCCGCCGCCCGCTGCTCCTGCGCGGCGCCGCCCCGGGGGGGGCCGGGCCGGGCGCTCCCAGCTGCCGGGAGCCCGCCCCGACGGGACGGGGCCGCCCCGGGGCGGGGGGAGCGGGAACGCGGGGGGGCTCCCGGGGGCCGGCGGGGTCCGTCCCGAGCGAGTGCCGCGGGACGGGGGGGACGCGGCCCCGGGGGCGCCCAACGCCGCGCGAACCGGCCCCGCGCCCACGGCTCCTGCCGAGCGCTCCCGAGGCGGGCTCAGCACCGGGAGCCGCTGTGCTGCGGGACGGGGCTCGGCGCCCACGGGAGCCGCCGCCGGGACACCCCGACGGGTCTGCGACGGCTGCGGGTACCGGAGGGGCGCTCCCGTAGGTCCCGGGACCGGGGGGGGGGGGATCGCGGGACGGGGGCGGCTCCCACCGGGGGGCGCGGGGGGCCCGGGCACCACCGGCACCGCCTCCGGCCCCGAGCCTTTGTCTGCACGGGGCGGGGAGGGAAGGGAACGGGACGGGAAGGGAGGGGACGGGACGGGACGGGGAAGGGAGGGGACGCCGCCTGCCGAGCCCTTCTCGCCCCTCTCTCCCCGCTTTCCCCTCGGCCGCGCTGCCGGGAGGGGGTCGGGGTCTGTGCCCCTGCCCCCGGCTCGGGACGGGGCTGTGGGTTCCGGGGCTGCCGGGGCCGCTGCGGGCTCCCAGCGGATGCTGAGCACTGCGGGGGGGGCTCCGCGCTGCCTCGGAGCTGCCAGGAGCAGCAGCCCCGCTTTCTTCCGCACAAAGCCTCCTCCTCCTCCTCCTCCCTCCCTCCCTTCCTTCCTGCCCTCGCTGCAGCTCTCCGTGGGCTGTGGCGGCTCTGCCTGAGCCCCGCGGCCCCTCGGCTCCGTCCCGCGGCCAGGCGGCACCCGGCGCGCCCCGGACGAGCCGCGGGAGCGGGGGGCGAGGAGCAGGGGGGCGAGGAGCAGGGGGGCGAGGAGCAGGGGGGTGAGGAGAAGGGGGGTGAGGAGCAGGGGGCCGTGAGCTGGGCGGCACGGGGCCGGGCTGACATCCTCCACTTGCTGTGGCAGGACGGCGTGAGGGAGGCCGCGGGTGCTGCCGAGGCTGCTCGGCCCCAGCAGGATGTCCCAGCTGCCCCTCATCACCCTCCACATCTCCGAGGACACCGGGAGCGACAAGTGAGTGCCTGCTCTGCTCCTCCACTCCCCGAGCCCTGCCCTCGCTAACCCTCAGTCTGTGGGATCCTGTGGGATCCTGTGGGATCCTGCAGCCTCGGCCGGGGGACGCAGCACCACCCGGCTTTGGGCTGGCACTGGGGGCTTTTCCAGGACACCGTCCCCAGAGCCAGGCTGCTGGTTTGAGCTTTGTGTCCCCGCAGCCAGGAGCTGAGCCCGGACAATGAAGGAGCCATGCACACCTCCTTCCGCGAGCTCATCCAGGAGCAGAGCATCTTGGCAGAGGCGGGCACAGAGCTGGAGCTGCAGGAGAGGGGCAGAGGTAGGCAGTCGCAGCAGGGGTAGGATGGGGACAGTGTGTGTACCTGTGTACCCGGGGCTGCAGCCCCAGCTGGGGCTCACACCGCTGCCACAGACAGAGCACTCGTGGCACCAGGCTTTGGGGACACAGAGGAGCATCCCCAGGGATGGGGTGCTGCAGGGAGGGCATATGCCAAGGTGGGCACCCAGCCTCTGGGCCCTGAGCACCCCATCTCTCACCGCCCACATCCTGCCCCCATCCCCAGGCCACCCGGCCCACCTGGCCCCCCCGGACACCTCTGCCTTTGCCTGGCTGGAGCCTGGGCAGGGGGAGCAGCACCCGGGCGACTCCACCACCCTGCGCATCCTTGCCAGCATGCCCAGCCGCACCATCGGTGAGTGCCGCCTGCCCTCCTGCCCCCCCCCCGGAGCCACCCTTGCCCGAGCTACACCGGGCTGGGAGCTCTCCCACCTGCTGCAGGCATGCCCTGCTGTCCCTGCGGCCGCCCACCCCAGTGTCCTGCTGCCACCCGCAGGGCGCAGCCGCGGGGCCATCATCTCCCAGTACTACAACCGCACGGCACGGCTGCGGCGCCGGCGCAGCCGCCCGTCCCTGCAGCAGCTCAGCCGCACGGCGCGGCCCAGCCTGCGGCAGTACGACCTGGAGAGCGACCCGGCCCGCGCCACGCTGCAAGGTGAGAGCTCCTGTTGGAGTCAGGGCAGGCAGAACCGGGCATCGTCGCTGCACCAGGGCTCGGGACGGGCGTGTTGCACCCCGGCCAGCCGTGTCCTACTGAGCCCCTTGTGCCCCCAGACAAGCGGAGCCTGCTGGCGAAGGAGCTGCTGAGCCTCTCGCCCAGCCAGCGCAGCCACATGCTGCTCTCGCTGCCCCTCTGCCTGGCGGAGAAGCGTGCCCTCTGGTAGGTCCCCCTGGCAGCCTCCTGCGGGTCCCGCAGACGGAGCCACCCCCTGACACCCCCCCCTTTGCCGGGCAGGCGGGAGCTGGACGAGCAGAGGAGCCCCCTGGGGCTGCGCCCCCACCCCACAGCCTCCCCATCTCCCTGCGGGTGGTGCAAGGACTACATCACTCTCGTAAGTCTGAAGCGCAGCGGCCGGCACAGCCGGAGCAGGTGGGTGGCGGGGGCTCTGCTGCTGCGGGGACCCCGGCGCCCTCACCAGGCTCCCTTTCCGCAGGGCTGCCGGCACCTCTGGTACAGGCTCCTTGCGCTGCTGCCCGCTGCACAGCCCTGGCACTATGCCCTGAAGCAGATCAGCGGCCGCTTCGGCTCCAGCGTCCTCTCCTACTTCCTCTTCCTCAAGACGCTCCTCATGTTCAATGTTTTCTCACTCCTCATCCTCCTGGTCTTCGTAGTGGCCCTGCAGGCTGCGTATCCCCCTGCCAAGGCCAACCAGCAGCCCTTCGCTGGCTTTGAGCTCCTCACAGGAGCGGTAAGCACCTCCAGCGCGTCCCTGCCTGTGCCTCCCTGGACCCCCCAGCACTGTGGGTGCGAAGGAGGGTGCCCGATGCTGCCCCGGGCTCTGTGCCCCTGCAGGCTGGTGCAGCCCCATGCCAGGCTGGGAGCCGTGGGCACCCCTGAGGTCACCGTCCTTGTTGTGCACTTTCCCACAGGGCTACTTCACCCACTCGCTGCTGTACTATGGCTACTACAGCAACATCACCCTCAATGACCCCTCTGCCTCCAGCCTCAGCGGCAGCGTGGCCCCCTCAGCGCCCCCCCGGCTCCCCTACAACATGCCGCTGGCCTACCTGTTCACCGTTGGGGTCTCCTTCTTTGCCACCTGCATCCTGCTGGTGTACAGGTGAGTCGGCAGCGCCTCAGCCCTGCTGGCCGTGCCCTGGCCGCCCAGCCCTGAGCCCTGCCGCCACCCCTTGCCCCCCTGCTGCAGCATGTACCGCTCCTTCGGGGAGAGCTACCGTGTGGGCAGCTCTGCGGGGGACCTGGCCATCAAAGTCTTCTGTGCCTGGGACTTCAAGGTGGTCCAGAGGCGCTCGGTGAAGCTGCAGTGCGAGAACATCTGCACCCAGCTGAAGGTGAGGAGCGGGGCTGGAGCTCAGTCCGTGCGCACCCTGCGCCCCGTGGTGGGAAGGTGAAGGTGTGCACAGGAGCCAGCCCGGGCTATGGGGCTCAGCTCCCCGCTGCCCACTGCATGGGGGGTCCTGCAGCAACGCGTGCACCTTCTCGGCCCTGGAACATGTTCTCAGCTGCCCCAGGCTGCTCAGCAGCTCCGCTGGCACTGCTGTCTTCCAGGAGCTGCTGGCCGAGCGGCGGTCCCGCTCCTGCCCCCTGAGCCTCTGCCAGCGGCTGGGGCGCGTCGCTGTCCTTCTCCTGGCCTGGGTCCTTTCCCTGGGCACGGTGCTGGGCTGCGTGGTGGCCGTGCACTACCTCTTGGAGCACATGCATGTGGTAAGCGCAGCCCCCACGCCACGCTGCAGCTCTGCCGGCCTGGGCAGGGCTCTCCAGGCTGACCGGAGGGCAGCACAGCCAGAGGAGGCAGGGGCAGCCCTGCTGCACCTCCACAGCCGGCACAGCGAGCCCCAGCGCACGGGGCTGCAGGCGGTCAGGCTCACCCAGGCGCCTGCTTGCCAGGTTCAGCAGGAGCACCGAGCCCTGGCGGGCAGCACGTGGCAGCGGGAAGGCATCCTGCTGGTCCTGCCCCTCACCGTGTCACTCCTCAACACGCTGATGTCCCATCTCTACAACTTGCTGGCGATATGTGAGAGGCAGGATTCCCCGGCGGTGGAGGTCTACGTGGCCATCTGCAGGTGGGCTGCCTGGGGACGGGGCAGGGGAGCCCCCAGCCACTGGCTTGCTGTGGGGAGAGGCCCTGGGGCCGGGGGACCCCCATACGTGGGGTTCAGCCCCTCTGCCTAGGGCTCAGGGCCTCCTGTCCCCGCTGCTGCTCTCCAGGAACCTCCTGCTGAAGATGCTGGTCCTCGGCCTGCTCTGCTACCACTGGCTCAGCCGGAGAGTCGTCTGCTCCGACGAGGAGGTTGGCGCTGGCCAGCAATGTGGGGCAGTGTGGGGCCGGGCTCTGCCGAGTTGAGCTGGCAGGGGATGTGCCACCCAGGCTGCCCCTGGCCCAGGGAGCATGGAGCAAAGCCAAGGCTGCCGTGCCAGCACCGTCAGGGGTCTGGCAGCACAGGGTCTGCTGGGCAGCACTGCTGGTGGGGAGGGGGCAGTCAGCCGGGCAGGGACACCCCAAAGCTGGGGCATGTGGGAGAGGAAGGAGGTCACCCAGCCCTTCACAGCCCATGGGGGAGCCGTGGCAGGGGAGAAACCTCCCCGTCTGCCTCGTGCCACCCGTGTTTGTCTCCCCAGTGCTGGGAGACGTGTGTCGGGCAGGACCTGTACCGCTTCATGGTGATGGACTTCGTGTTCATCCTGCTGGACACCATCTTTGGGGAGCTGGTCTTCAGGTAACGTGCCCCAGGAGGGGTCCCCCCAGCACAGCCCCGCTCTGCAGCCACCAGAGAGAGAAGACCGCGTGCCCGACTTCTTGCAGTGGCTGTCAGAGCAGAGCTCCTCTCGTTTCCCAGGCTGATCTCAGAGAAGAGACTGAAGAGGAAGCAGAGGCCTGAGTTTGACATTGCCCGAAATGTGCTGGAGCTGATCTACGGGCAGACCCTGACCTGGTGAGACATCTTCAGCCTGATGTGGCTCGTCCGCTGCTGGCAAATGCCACACGGTGCTGATACTGCCTGCGAGCCCTGCAGCATGCAGAGACCCCCCGGCCAACACGGGAAGGACAAGGGAAAGGAAGCAGCAGCCTGGCAGACCGTGGTCACAGCGCTTGGTGCTGGCACCGTGCAGCCACACGCACACACTAGGAGGTCTGGCTGTGGCAGGACGGGTGAAAGCCATCAGTGGAGTGTCCTGGTGCCAGCCCAGTGTCACCTGCCCAGCTGGTGCCCTCCAGAGCTCTGGAGGAGGAGCAGGTCCTGGTTAACGTGCAGCCCCTCGTTTGTCCAAACCATAACGGCGCTCGCTGCTCAGGGCTCCCCTCTGCAGCCCCCAGCCTCACACCACCCTGCACAACTCCCAGCCAGAGGAGGAGATCCAGATGTGTGCTGCTGCGTGGCAGCACAGCTGGCAGACACGCAGGCTGTAAATGCACCGGGGGTCAGTGAACCCTCAGGTGCTCCCAGCCCCGACCTGCAAGATGAGCCCCCAGGCACAGGCTGTGCAGCAAACCCAGCACAGGGCACGGGGTGCCTGCTCTGCTTTATGAAAGCCAGACCGCAGCTGGCACTGCTGTCCTGCTCCTCTCGTGGCTCCAAGCACCGTTAGCTCCCATGGGGCTCAGTCCCATCTCCCTCTCTTCCAGGCTGGGTGTTCTCTTCGCACCGCTCCTGCCAGCAGTGCAGGTGCTGAAGCTGCTGCTGCTCTTCTACATCAAAAAGGTGCGTGCTACCCTGCTGCTCCTGCTGCAGCCCCACCATGGGCAGTGCTGCAGCACACAGTGAGCAGCACCGTCCTCACCTGAGGGCAGAAGTGTTGCTGGGGTCCCCCAGCTCAGTTGGCTGCTGGACGGGGGGACAGGAGGGCGCAGCCACCCTGCGTTCGCTCCTGGGGTCTCTTGGGAGGCGGCAGCACGCAGCTCTCTGCTCCTTGTCCCCAGACCAGTCTGATGCAGAACTGCCAGGCCCCCAGCAAGCCCTGGCAAGCTTCTCGTATGAGCACTGTGTTCATCACCCTGCTCTGCTTCCCATCCTTCCTGGGCGCTGCCGTCTTCATCTCCTACATCATCTGGTCGTGAGTACCTGCCAGACCGCAGGGCGCAGAGAGCCCCACACCCTGCACAGGGCTGTGAGGTGCTGTCCCCAGCTGCGGGCACTGTCCCAGGCAGGGAAGTGCTGCCCTCTGCCAGTCACCGCATGTGGTGTGACAGCCTCTGGTGTGTGCCTGCTTCTCCCACCCAGCCATGCCCAGATGCTCCTCAGTGCTGGGCAAGGCGATGGGGACCCCCCCGCTGGGAGCAGGGCAAGGCTTGGCCCCTGGAGGGCTGTAAGCTCGCCCCAAGGGCCAGGACACTGCCCTAGAACCCAACAATCCCCCGCTCAACAGCATCCGACTGACCCCACTGCTCTGTCCGCTCAGAGTGAAGCCGTCAGAAACCTGTGGCCCCTTCCAGGGGCTGGAAACCATCTACAAGTCCGTGAACGTCTGGGCAAAGTTGATGGAGAAGTCCAGCCCCAACATCACCTGGCTGACCTGGATCCAGCAGTACCTGGTGGAGAACACCTTCTTCCTCTTCTTCGTGTCCGGGGTGCTGCTGTGAGTATGGGGAGAACCCAAGGCTGAAACCCACACCCGCACTTTGTGGGTCCCCTGTCACTGCCATGGCCCTGGCAGTTGGGGTGTCCCTCCTGGTCCGGGGCAGGGACACAGCATCCCAGCCCCAGGGACGTGTCGGTGCCACCATCCCCATCGTGCCTGTCGTTGCAGAGCCATGACCTACTGCCACATCCAGGTGGTGAAAGGCCAGCGGAGGATCATCTGCCTGCTGAAGGAGCAGATTGCAAATGTGCGTGAGCTCTGCCTGCTGCCCTGCGGACCCTGAGCCCCCGTCCCTGCAGCCCCCAGCCCCGGGGCAGCTGGATCTGGGCTCCAGCCCTACCCCTGCTGCTGCCTCCAAGCTGCAGGAGCACAGCCCCCAGGGCTGCTCACTGCGGCATCTCTGCTGTTGCAGGAGGGAGAAGATAAACTATTTCTCATTGAGAAGCTTCACTGCATTTACCAGCAGAAAGAGGAACGTGCCTGAGTCCCAGGTAAGGCCCAGAAAAAGGGGACAGGCAGCTGTCAGGGTGCCGGGGGTCATCAGGGTGGGGGGCCACCCCCTTCCCTGACCCTCAGCGTCTCACAGAGACCGTCCCTCCGTCTCCCCCCTCAGTGTCACAGCCCCCAGGAAGGAGTGAGACAGACCAGGACCGCTCCCTGCCAGAGCCTGGATCTGCAGCCACCTGGAGCCACCGCAGCGCGGCCCTGGAGCCAGCGGGGCCTGGCGGGCCGGGGACACTTTCTCTCCACCGGCCTGCAGTGGCCAAGGATTGACTTGGACTTGCCACCCAGCAGCAACCCGGGGATGCTGCGGCACGGGGCTGGGGGCACTGCCCCCAGGGACACGGCAGGACCGGAGCCCAGTGTCCGGGGGCCCAGCTCCCCGCGGGGCGTGCAGCGGAGCCCTGTTGTGAACAGCTCTGCTCCTGGCCGGCTGCCTGCAGCCTTCCGGAACGCGGACCGAGGGTTTCTGCCCCGGGACGGGGAGCAGCGGCCGCCGCCGTCCCGGTGAGCGGCTCAGGGGCCGCCGCGGCGCTGCCCGGGCCGGGGGGGGGGTTTGGGGGGAGGGGGGGGGGTCCGTGCCCAGCACCATTAAAGCCGCTCCCGCAGCTCGCCGTGGGCGCCTCAGCTCTGTGGGGGCGGCAGCTCGGGCTCGGGGGGCTGCCGGCAGCCCGGGGAACGGGCGCCCGGTGGCGGCTGCGGCCCGGTCCCGGGGGGTTGGGGCACGGCGGCCGCGGCTCGGCCCCGCTCCTCCCCCGCAGCCCGAGGCGGAGCCGGGGCCGCGCCCGGGATCCGGGACAGAGCCGGGCCGCGGCTACCGCAGGGACGGAGCGGGCCGAGGGGGGCCGCGGGGGGCAGGGCGCGGGGGGTCTCGCTGTGATGGCGCCGCGCCGGTACCTCGGCAGGGGCAGGTAGGGGGCACCGGGGGGGCACCGGGAGGGCCGCGGGGGCGCCGCGGGGGCCGGGACTGGAACCGGAACAAGGGCGCGGCGGGCACCGGGGAGGCCGCGCGGGGGGATCCAGGAACCGGGGGGCGCTGGGACGAGGCCGGGAACGGGCCGGGGAGGCTGGGAGGGAGGGGGGAGACCGGGAACGGGCCGGGGGCACCGGGAGGCCGGGAGCGGCCGTGGCTGGGCCTGCGCCGGGCCGCAGCCGTCGCGGCCCCCGCTCAGGCGCTGTCGTTCCTCGGGCAGGTCGAGGGCTCACAACGGCACCGGGGACCGTGTGTACGGGCACCGGGGTGGCACCACGAAGGCACTGGCACCGGGACTCGGGCGGCCCGTCCCCAGCCTAGGGGCGCAGCGCTGCGGCCTCTTCCGCCTCCCCCCGCGGCCCTGCAGCAGCCCCTCGACAGTGGCACAGAAGCCGGGCGGGCAGCCCCCGGCCATCAGCAGTGGCCCCGTGCCTCAGAGCCTGGAGATGGTCTCTGAGTACGTGCAGAAGAACCGCGGCGCGCTGGTGTTCTTCAAGGCCCAGCCCCAGCTGTGCCTGCGGGTGGGCGACCTGGAGGGGACGTTGTACGAGGGGCAGGACGAGCTGCTGCGGTGGTGCCAGGCGCTCTACCTGCCGCAGCCCACCCGGATGATCGTGGTGGGCACGGTGGATGACGTGCCCTGCCTGGCCACGGGGCAGCAGCTCGTCATCCTCGTCGCGGAGAGCGGCGACGTGTATGCCTACGAGGAGGAGACGCTGCACAAAGTGGCCCGGAGCTTCGCCGAGTTCTTGGAGATAGGGCTGCAGCTCCTGGGGAAGGAGGTGTACTGCTGCGGAGAGCACATAGTGCCTCTGGTAAGCTGGGCTGGCAGGGAAGGAATCTGCAGCTCTTCTTGCCTTGGAAAGAGTCAGCCTGAGTTTGCTCGCGTGCTGGGGTCTGCCGTGCCATTGATCCCACCTGCTTCGGTCCCTAACAGTTCCCTGATTGTTCTTCCAACAGGGTGAGGAGGAGCGGGACAAAGACCCAACAGTCCAGCAGATCAGAGAGAACGTCAATAAATTCATTAAGAAAGGGGAGGAAGAGTTCCATAGCCTGTTGAAGCTACTGGAGGCTGAGCCTGCTGTTGCTTGTTAAAACTGTGGGGGGGACAGGGAGATACGGGGAACCGTACTTCCAAATCTTGGCGCTGTAAAATTGCATTTCTTAAATGCTTCAGTGGTGTCAAACTGCATTTTAAGGGATAATTTTTTGGGAGCAACTCTGGAAGTGAGTACCAGAAGCTTTGTATTGATTTAAGCATGTAAAAAGCGTGTGGCTTTTGATGTGTTCTGCTTTATCCATGTTAAGAGCTTGACAAATGGCTTGGTCTGCTGAGATGCCAGCCAGATTTTAGGCCTGCTAAGAGGGGCTGCTTCAGCCTCCCCATCTGGTAACAGAGCAAAGAGAGGCTTCAAGAATTACCTCATGCTGCCTGACAAAGTTTGTAATAAACAGTGGAGCTTAACCCATCCTTGTCTCAGGACAGGCGACTCCAGCAGAGCAGGGCTGTGCCTCTGTCCTGGAGGCAGCACGCTCCCTCGTTTGACGCCCCCCTGCTCAGGGTTGGAGTGGGTTTTGAGCCTTGCCCGCTGTGCCTGTGGCTGGGGCAGACCTGCGGCTCCCCGCGGGGCTGTGTCTGCCGCTGGGGGTGGGAGCAGGGTGTGCAGCTGCGTGGGCAGCAGCTGATTGCAGGGTGTGGTGTTATCTCTTAAAAACACGTTGGCAGGGCCATAGGTCGGGCGGCCTGATGTCATCGTTGTTTTGTGGAGATCTCCACAGCGCATGTGGGGCACAAGCGGCTGGGACCCCTACCACTTGTGTGACCAGTTCACCTTGGCTCTGTGCCCATGCTGACAACTTTTTGGCATTTTGTGTGTCACGGGTGCCAGGGAAGCGGCTAGCCCATAGGAGTGACCTGAGGGGGACACCCGGAGGCATCCCCACTACCCGGGAAGGCTCGTTAGCTCGTTAGCTCCTGTTCAGTTGTCTCTGTCTCTCCTGGGCAGCCCCCCCCCTTCCTCACTTTCCGTGCTGCTGGCACCCACCCCCCTGGCCACTGCGCTGCAGCCTCTGAAAGGCTCCGTGTCCCTGAGGAGCCCCATGACAGCACCCACCCTGCCGGCAGTGGGGGCCAAGGTCTCCGGCCCCAGCGAGCCCCCACCCGGGGCACTGGTGGGGCTGAGCCCTCTGGCTCCCCACGCCCAGGGCTCCAGCACGATGGCGCAGTGGGCGCTGGCCGCCTGTCCCCATGCGGAAGCTCTGAGCTCTGAGTTTTGAGTTTCGTTTCTGGAGAAATGAAAGTGGAGGCAAGAGTCTTGCTCCTCCCTCACACAGCTCTGCCGTCACACTCCAGCAGAGCAGTACATTTGTAAAAGCCGCTGTGCCGGCAGCAGGCTGCGAAGCACCAGGTTCGAGCAAACGCCGGTGGGATTCCTCAGGCTGGGACTGGGGGAGGAGTGCTTGCACCAAGCGCTGGTGGCAGTGCGGGGACCTGGGCGTCTTCGTTACGACAGCATACCCTGCGCTGTTCTGTGGCTCAAGAGCTTGAAGGCAGCACAGACTCCAAGGATTCTTTGCTTCTGCCAGGTACGTGCTGTTGCTTGTAAGCAATCTGCCTGCTTCCCCTGCAGACAGGCCCCTCGGGAGCAGGAACCCATCCCCAAACCCTCCCAGGGAAGCCCTCCTGGGCTTGCAGCTGAAGGTAGAGGAATGCCAAGGCAGCCTCCCCAGCGTGAAACTTGCTCAGCCTGGGGCTGCAGCAGCTCTGCTGATGGCTTGCTGTCAGGGAAGGTGCCCTCAGGTGTCTGCTCCGGCTGGGAGCAGCCCCGGGACCCCCAGCCACACACTGCATGGCGCTGCCCGAGCAAGCAGCCGGCACCACAGCCCCTGCCCGGTGTCCCCAGGGGCACAGGTGCCCAGCCTCGGGGTGACCCAGCCTCCTGCCCTTCCAGCACAGCACCGTTCTGTGGGCTGTTTTCCTGGAGCCCTGCGGACCAGGACACAACCGCTGCAGTACCAGGCTACGTGTTCCCGATGAACTTTGTGCATCAAAACCAGGTGTGTGAGCACTGCCCTTCTCCCCAGGAGGCCAGGAGGGACGCTCCCGTGTAGCATCCTGGCCGGCAGGTACCGGTGCTGCCATCTTCAGATGCCGAGGGACATCCCAAGCCCATGCAGTGCCTGGTGCGTGGCATTGCCTCTGGAGCACCCAAGCCTCTGCGGTGCTGGGCCTGGCTTCCCGTGCCATTGGGCACGCCGAGGGGCTGGGCCCGGGCTGTGTCCTGCAGTGCACTCCAGTCCCTGGGGCAGGCAGCAGATACGCATGCTGCGGCCACCAGCCCGTGGCAAGCTCTGCTCCCACACCTGCCCGCAGCTCGGAGCCACGCTCCTCGCAGTGCCACGCCACCAAGCCTCCTCTTCCTCCGCAGGGCCCTGGCCATGCTGCAGTGCAGGACGCTCAGAGGTAAGGCTGAGCCTCGCCTACCCTCTCCCTGCTCACCAGCAGCCACCCCCAGCCCGGCCATGCCCTAGGGGGACGAGCGCTCGCCCTGCAGCCCGGAGCACCCCGGCACTGCTGCCACTCGCTCCTCTGTGCTTCAGCAGGATGCTGGCAGAGCGGGAGGAGCGGTGTAAAAGCCAGTTACAGATGAGTGGGAATCTCTTCATCAAGCACTTCTTGAAGTTGCTGACTCAGAAGCAGCTGGCTGAAGACATCAAAAAGCACTACATGGAAAAGGTCAGCGCTGCCACCCCTGTCCTCCCCCCCCATCCATGGCCATGCTGCAGGTCCCAGCTCCTCCGGCAGCAGCCCCAGGCCAGAGGCACTGCTGCTGGTTTGAGCAGGGAGCTGGCGCCCAGAGTGGAGAAGCTGCTTGGAGCACGGGCAGGCAGGGAGGGGCAGCAGGGGGGCGGGGGGCTGGGGGCCGGGCAGGCCGACGCGGGGGCTCAGCAGCCGCGTTCCAGGCACAGCTCAGTGCCGGGGTCTCTGCTCACCGACAGGTGCTGCACGCGGTGTTCTTCTTCGGAAGGCTGCACAAGAGGATGGTGCAACCCATTGACTTCCTAGGGCCCGAGGTGTGCCAGATCCTGCAGGCGAAGTTCCCCAGGCCGTTCGAACAGTACAGCACCCACCTCCCCAGCCTGACGCCCTACTCCATCCTGCTGCAGTTTGTGAGTATCCCCACACGTGCACGGCTCCGGAGGTGGCTCCCTTGGAGCTGGGACAGGACGGGTGGTGGGACAAACCCAGCATGGCCGCGGGGAGGCCCACTGGCTTTGTTGGGCACTGCTTTGTCTATTTAGTGGCTGGGCCATTTCCCTCAAAACAGCAGCCTTACACACCTCCAGCAGCATTTAGCCTTTACAACAATCTCTTTTTCCAACGGTGCCAATCCTGCTCCAAAGGCAGGCTGCCACTAGGCAGCATTTCAACAGACAGACACACTCATGGCCAAAGCCAACCCAACCTCCTTACTGCTTCTCTAAATGTCCCCGTTTTGTTAAGTCAGAGCCCTTCTTGTAGAAGTTTCTCTCTCAGACTTTGCAGTCACAATGAGCTGCACTGACCAGCTGGTGCTGAACGGACTCAGGGGAATGGCCAATTTCTGAGTTTGTCTTTAAACCCCACGCTCATCCCCTTCTATTGCAGAGTATCGCTTCCTGGGGAATGAAAGAGACAGGGAGGGGTCTGTACAAAGAGCTGTGTCTGTTCCCAGGGCACTGAAGAAGCGGGCTGCAGCACCCAAGAGCAAATGGAGTCTTTCTTGCGTGACTTTAACGAAACTCTGCAAGAAGAATTGGAGCAAGAGCAAGAAGCCAACCTGAAGCTCAGTCAGTTCGTCTTCAGAGCTGCAGTTGTTTCTTTCAGCATCTACAGAGACCCCGGGGATGGAGCAGCCACCCCTCTCTTTTATGGAGCGTCCCTGTCCTGCAGCGGGCTGCTGGAGAGGAAGATCATGATTGCCATCCTGTGCTTACAGACCTGGCACAAGGCGGTGGCGTTCGCGGTGCACCACGGGGAGAATGACCTGGCCATCGTGTTCCCTGATGGGGTACAGTCCCGGGCCTTCTACTACACGCACGGAGCCTTCAAGGAAAAGAAGCCCTGCGTGAAATGCACGAAGATGTTCAAGGTTGACTTCAGGCCACCCGCAGGCAGCGCCACAGAAAATTCCCGATGGCCATACGGAAACTGTGCTGAGAACGAGAGCCTGAGCAAGCTGCTGCAGGGCGTCCCGGGGCTGCAGGAGAGGGTTGTCTCCACACACACTCCCCCCCAGCCAAACACCTACCAGGCCATTGAGCAAGAATTTGCAGACGTCATAGAAAACAGTTTTAGATATCACCTTGTCCAGTTGCTCCAGGAAGGACATTTTTTTTCTTACCTTCCTCTGCAATTCTTTTGAGCCCAGGTGAGCGCTGGAGGCAGCCGCAGGCTGGTGCCTGCTGCAGCTCACGAGACACCCCCGACTGCAGCCCCCTGGCAGCTCTGCCTGCCCTCACCCACGAGCTCCCGTAGGCCCCCACCTTTGCACAGGCTCCCCTGGGCCACCTTGCTGCGCTCTGGCTGGCGCAGGGCACGCGAGGCCACAGCAGTGAGTGCTGCCTGCAAGCAGCCCCAGCCCAGGGGCCCAGCCCCACTGACCCAAGCACTATGACTGGGGACCGGCACAGCCCCAGCAGGAGGGCAGGAAAGCCTTCTCACCCTGCCTTTACGTTGCTTCCAAAACCAGGCTACGTGCTCACAGCAGCAGAGCCTGGACAGGACACAGAAGAGGCAAAAGTGCAGCCTCTGTGTGGCACGAGGCAGCCCAGCTCCATATCTGCAACCTGCCCAGCGATGGGGCACCTGTTGGTTGCTTGCTAGATGCAGCAGCACAGGGCGCTGCTGTCAATCTGTGGAAATGAAGATGTGTGTGATTTTAAATTATGTACCTGATGATTTGCAACAGAGACCGTTCATTTGTGAAGCCTCCTCCTTTCGCTTCTGTGTAGATCCAGACTGCTCCGCTCTCAGGCACAGGAGCTGCATCCTCCTGGTGACACAAGCAGCCAGCAGGGCCTGCGCACACAGCACGCCCTCAGCCAGGCTTTGCTCACAGGGGCTCGAAGCCTGGAGCAGGCAGGAGGAAGGGGCAGCTTGCCCTGGCGTCCGAAAGGAGCACGGGCATCGAGGCAGCCCCGCGGCAGCGCTGCAGAGCTCCAGGCAGAGCTCAGAGCCAGACGTGGCTACGGACGGTTTGCTGCAGGAGCACGGCCTGAGGCTCCCGCTCAGCCCCTCCCTGAGAGGCCGGGGCTTGCACCCAGCACAGGGAAGTCCGGACACGGAGGTGGAAGTTTCCCAGTTTTACTGTAAAGTCCTAAAAAGCCGCCGCAGGCAAAGCCCTAGGGAGCTGCCCCCTGCCACCAGCCCCTGGCAGTGCCCAGGGCAGGGCGGGTCAGCCGGGGTCCCTGAAGGTGTCCCTCAGCCACTGCAGGACGTCGGCCAGCCCGGTGCCGTCGCGCGCGCTGGCCTCCAGCACCGTGACGGGCTGCGTAGCGCAGGACACGATGTCTTGCATGCGGAACAGAGACTGCATCTCCACCAGCGACATGTAGCAGGGCAGGTCACTGCGGCCAGAGGGCTCCGTGTCAGCCACCGCCCCGCGGTCCTGCCCCCCCCCAGCACCCACACAGCCGGCCCGGGGGCGCACAGCCCCGCTGCCACCCCACAGAGCCGGCGGCCTCCCGGGGCATCGCCCTCCGGGGGTGCCCCGGGAGCTCCACGCCCCCCTCGCCCCCGTTTACATCTTGTTGAAGAGCACCAGCACGGGCACGGCGGCGAGCTGCGGGGCGGACAGCAGGGCCAGCAGCTGCACGCAGGACGAGGACACCTGCGTGGGGTTGGCGGCATCGACCACGAACTGCGGAGGGAGGGGGCGGCTCCGTGGGGGCGTCCCGGGGCTGGGGGGGGGGCCGGGAGCCCCGGGCACCCCCGCGCCCCCCCGGGCCGGGTCTCACCATCACGGCGCCGCAGTCCCCGTAGTAGCTGGGCCAGATGGGGCCCATGCAGCCGCCCAGCTCCCGCACCGTCACCCTCGGCGGCAGCGGCAGCTCCGTCAGGTTGGTGCCCACCTGCGGGGCCGGGACAAGGCGGGGTCGGGCCGGGGCCGGGACCGAACGGAGCCGGAACCCCGCTTGTCCCGCCCCCACCTACCGTGGGCAGCGTGGCCGGGGGCTCGCCCAGCTCCTTGGCGCCGTCCCGGGCGCTCAGCTGTGCGGGGCGTTAAGGACGGGCACGGACGGGCGGGGAGGGCGCGCCGCCGCACCGGGACCCCTCAAGAGTCCCCCGGTACCCCCGGAGCCCCCCCGCTGCCCCCCGCCCCGCGCGGATATGGCGGAGCCGCTTCCCCAGCAGGCTCTTACCGACGCCCGCGGCGCCCAGCAGGAGGCAGCCGCCCCCGCGCCGCCCCCCCGCCGCCATCGCCGCCCCGCCGGAAGCGGCGCCGCCCGCCCCGCCGGAAGGCGGAAGGAGCGGAAGGCGGAAGCGGAAGTGGCCGCGGGCTGGCGGCGGGGCTGGGCCGGGCCGGGCCGGCAGCGGGGGACGCGATGGGGCGCGGCGGAGGCACCTTCGAGCGGCTCCTGGGTAGGGGCCGGGCCGCCCCCCGCGGGGCTCGGCGCCGGTGACCGCGGCCGGTGGCGGTGGGGGGGGGGGCGCGGCGGGGGCCGGGCAGAGCCCGGGGCTGTCGGGGCCGGGCTGACGGCGCCGCGCTCCCTTGCAGACAAGGCGACGAGCCAGCTGCTGCTGGAGACCGACTGGGAATCCATCCTGCAGATCTGCGACATGATCCGCCAGGGCGACACGCAGTGAGTGCCCCCGGGGGGGGCCCTGTCCGCAGCTCCGGCCGCGCGGTGCCCGGGAGGCGCTGCGAGGCGGCCGCCCCCTGCCCTGCGCCCTCCTCCCGGCCCCGGCTGCAGGCTGGGCCTGGCCCGAAGGCTGTGGGGAAACCCAGGCCGGAGCGTGTCGGATCCTCCTCGTCCCAGTTTGCGGTGGGGGAGCTGGGCTGGGTGTGCTGGGAGCTGACAGCACCTTTTGTTAGTGGGGGTCGGGGGGTTGTCAGGGGCAGGGGGAGTATCCTTGCAGACTTGTCCTCGCCCAGGAACATGTGCTCTCTGTCTCCATCCAGAGCAAAATACGCAGTCAACGCTATCAAGAAGAAAGTCAACGACAAGAATCCCCATGTGGCACTCTATGCGCTAGAGGTAACTTCAGCCCGAACCCCCAGCCCTCTGGGGGCCCGTTCCACAGGCCAGAACTTCCCATCCTTCCCAAGCCTGCCTGCTGGGCTGCAGCCTGCGCAGCGTTCCCTCTGCCCTGCCCAGCAGCATCAGGGCGTGACTTGGAGTTGCCTCCTGGCTCTAGCGCAGAGGCATCGTGACTGAGTGACAGGCTGTGATGTTTTGGTCTTGAATTCAACCTCAGAGCTAGAAACGGGCCAAGCCAGAGCTTGTGTGGGGGTCTGTTTGCTTGCCTCTGTGTGTTTAAATAGCAGAGGTCCAAAGGCCACCATGAAGCTGAAGTATAGCTTATGCTTTAGCCTTGTGGTGTGCGTTTCTCTGGCTTAACTGACACTTCTTTACTTTAATCATTATTTAAATAGTGCCCCCTTCTTAGCTTACCTGCTGCAATAACCTGTAACAGGTGCTGAAACACCGCTCTTTTGTTTAGTCTCTGTAGGCCACAGAGAAGGAAGAAAGTGGCAGGCTAATGCTGTCCTTTGCCCTCGCAGGTCATGGAGTCTGTAGTTAAAAACTGTGGCCAAACAGTCCATGATGAAGTAGCTAATAAACAGACTATGGAGGAGCTGAAGGAAATACTTAAGGTAAACTTAACTTGTTTTACTCCGGTTTTTGAATGAGGTTGTAAGGCAACGAAAGGAGGAAATGTACGTGTTCTCTGTTTCATTCCCTGTGTATAAGGAACAGAGACTTGGAAATGTCTCTCAGAGAAGAGCAACCTGTATTGTTTAATATGAAGAGGTGAGTGTAGAGAGCTGAAGAGTGCCTGCTGGGGAGAGAAGATGTCATGAGAGCAAAGATAATGTTTGGCTATACCATGAAGTGGGGAAGGAATATGCTGTAAAGGCATAGGCCATCTCATGACGGGTGATCATGGGTGTGGTGCTTTGCTTGGCCAGAGACTGAAAACAAACCAACAAACAAAAAACAAACAAGCAAACAACTGTCAGAGTTTCACCAAGGATCTGAGCAGGGGTAGGTGAATACCATTCCTGTAGTCCAGTGTAGGACACCAAGAAGGTGAGTAGCAAGGTGAAACTGACAGAAGTTTCCTCTTTACTATGACAATTTCACTGGCCTGTGGAACTGGCCTGAGGAGCTTTTCAGGTTGTGGACCTGTATCACTTGTCTGTTTGGTACAACGTGCTGCCTGCAGGAGCTCCTTATGCCCCAGGACTTGAGACTTCCACAAGGGAAGGGTAAATGAGAACTCAGGTCTTTGGTTTCCAGTCCTGAGAACAGTAACTCACAGACAAGAGGTTGTTACAGTAATGCTGTTACTTCCTTGTAGTCCCTATCTTCTGCCACAAATAGACACGTAGATGACCCAAATATCTGTGGAGTGAGCTGTGCTGCTCCTGCCACCTCACGCCCTGTAGCCAGGTGTCTCCTGCGTGAACTTCCTGTTAGGGCTTACTCAGTCCTCGTACGGCCTCTCCTGATGAAATGGGAATGCTGCAGCAGTGTGAAGGCCGGGTGTTGTAGCACAGCTGCTCTGAGCACTGAGGGGATCAGATACGATCAGATCAAAGATTCTGGGATTCTCTCCAGTCCTTGTCTGCCTCAGCAGTTTCATAACTGTCGCAGACCCGTTGTCATCCTACACTCGGAAATTTGCTGCCTGTGAATGCCTCGTGCTGTTTAAAATGGTGTTAGCTCTGATGAGGCTCAGGGCTGTGCCATTTGTGGAATGCGGGGTTTTGCCAAATCTCCTAGAAGTTAGGAGCTCCAGGAATTGTCACTGGGTCACACTGTGCTGAGCTCTCGGATGAAACGGGAGCTTGACGATCTCTGCTTCCTGGGGGACTTCTGGAGCAACCGGTCATGTGAGGCGGCGATGACTCGGTCAGCTGATGGCAGGGCTGCTCCTGGGGCTGGGATAGGAACGGGCTTGCCAAGTTTCCTCTGGCTTCCTGAGCTGTGATACAGCCGTCCCTTGCCTCCAAAGGGCAGGCTTCCCAGCTGTCCTGATTGCATCACGTCTCGAGGTAGTTCTGGGTATTCCTGCACAGGAGTGTCTGAGCTGGAGCTGCTGGCAGCTGGGCACCAGCAGCCTCAGACACCTTCCAGCTGTGTCTGTGGTGCCCTGTCAGAACTGGGGTGAGATGATGGTGCTGCCCCGGGCAGCTCTCACCCTTGCAGTTTGTGGAGTGAGGGACCAGCAGCTCTTGTGAGGAGGTAAACAAGAATGTTGTGCCTGCCCTGGGGAGTAACCGTGTGAGTCTCCGTGGATGTGTCCCAAAAGCATTGTGCCTGCACACCTTTCCAAGTTATTGTGCTGCTCTGAGGACAGCCTTCTGTTCATGCTGGAGCAGGGGAGCGGGAAGCTGAAGGAGGATGTAGTCCTTGCTGTAGATTGTCCTGCTTGTAATTTTCTGACAGCTTTTACCTTGCACGAGTATTCTGAAGTCTCTCTCCCTATGAATGGTATTTCTGGCTCCTGTCTGAGGGATTTGTAACATCCCTTGGGCTTCAGGGTCTTTTTCTCAGGCTTTTTTTTTTTTTTTTTTCCCTGCAGAGGCAAGTGGAAGCGAGTGTGCGCAGTAAGATCCTGAACCTTATCCAGGCCTGGGCTCATGCCTTCCGCAACGAGCCTAAGTACAAGGTGGTGCAGGACACCTATCAAATAATGAAGGTGGAAGGTGAGGGAACTGGGGGTGAAGGTGGCTGGCAAGTGGCCGTGCTCTGGAGGAGCCTTGCTGGAGGAAAAAATGGTTTTGGGGTCCCTGCCAGGTATTAGTGAAGTCTGAATTTACAGTGCTGAGCTTTTTCTCAGCATATTTTTGTGCAGTTCTTCTCAGCTCTGTGTGAGCAGTAGGCACCGCTGGCAATGCCACCTGGCCTTCTGCAGCAGGGAGATTGCTGCTGCTCTTATCAGAACAACGTAACGGTTGGGGTAGAAATGCTGAGCTGTGTTTGGTGTGTACGGCTGGGACCTGCAGCACTAGGCTGAGTCCTGGCACCACAGCGTCCCAGTGCAGAAGCCTTTCACAGGGGAATGCTGTCCCTTCTCCCACAGGCCATGTGTTCCCGGAGTTCAAAGAGAGCGATGCCATGTTCGCTGCGGAAAGGGTGAGTGAGCGCTGCTGGCGGGGAGGGAGCTGGTGCTGTGGGACAGGCCTTGCCCTTGTATCCCTCAGGCTACTAAACCTTCAGTTCTTGCTTGCCTCCATTTCCAAGTTCTTGCTTTTCCTCCATTTCACTCGCATTGGAGACCTTGCTGTGTTCATTGCTTGCTTGCTCCCTGCTGTCCCATGGGCAGCTCTGGGTTGGTGTGCAGCAGCTTAGCCTAAAATTACCAGAGGGAGGGGAGAATTGGCCAGGACAGAACATTAGTCTCAACCTGCTAAGCACACCCCAGAGTGGCCCTACTTGGTGGCTTTCTAGCAGCATGGTAGATGCAAATGCTTCCTGCCTCCCCATTCGTGTCTGGGTTAGCCGTAGGAGCTCCTGAAAGGTTCTATGACGACATCATCCGTGAGGCCTCGCTCCTTGCCTTACACGAGTTTCCTTAACCCCGCCAGGCTCCAGACTGGGTAGATGCTGAGGAGTGTCACCGATGTCGAGTGCAGTTCGGAGTTGTGACACGGAAGGTGGGTGCTGCTCCTGCCCTTCTGGGTTCCCCGGTCCTGTGTGGAGGTGCGTCTGGGTGACTGCCCCCAGCCACTGCCCGGGACGTGCCGGGACCATTTGAGGGGTATCATCTAACGGTGAAGCAGCATCTTGCTGCCACACTGATGTCTCCCGTTCTTTGCAGCATCATTGCAGGGCCTGTGGGCAGATCTTCTGTGGCAAATGCTCCTCCAAGTATTCGACCATCCCCAAGTTTGGGATTGAGAAGGAAGTGAGAGTCTGTGAGCCCTGTTATGAGCATCTCAACAAGTCAGTACCCTTTGTGGCATGTTTCTGGGACCGTGAGGGGAGAAACTTGGCATGGAGCCACCTCTCTGGCAATTAGCATAAGGGTTTCCCAGTTGTGTAGGCTGGGAGTGGGCTTTACAGCTGTAGTGTTGTGCAGAGCTGGGGCTCCAGTGCTGGGGAAAGAGCACTCGGTCTGTGCTGACACCTCTTTCTGACTGCAGGAAAGCTGAGGGTAAAGCTGCTGCAACCTCCGAACTGCCCCCCGAGTACCTGACCAGCCCCCTCTCTCAGCAGTCCCAGGTGAGTGGCTGCCCTCTGGGTGACTTGGTGACACTGGCCTGCTCCTTCATCCCTTTATTGACTGCTGCCTCATCTTTCTGCTTGCA